GTGTGTGTGTGTGTGTGTGTGTGTGTGTGTGTGTGTGTGTGTGTGTGCGTGTGTGTGTGTGTGGGGTCAGTCTGGGTTCAACCAGGTGATGAAGCATCCTCGCTGCGTCAACGAGATCACGCTCAGCCTCAACAACAGAAACCCGAGGTAACCTTAACGTCTGTGTTGACTGTGAGCTCACTTCGATGTCACGACTTCACTTAACTTGGAGTTAACTCCGTCAGCTGGATGAATGCAGAATACCTGATTTATCAAGAGTAAAGTTACATTTGTGCTCCTCAGGACGAAGGCGTTGGTGCTGGAGCTGCTGGCGGCCGTGTGTTTGGTGAGAGGAGGCCACGACATCATCCTGTCCGCCTTCGACAACTTCAAAGAGGTCTTCAAACCTTTCTATGAATATATAATAAATGTTTGTGTATAAACAATAACGACGCTGCCGTATTAAGTTGAAATGAGGCATGTTATCAAATATGAATCTAAAAATTACAAATTATATTTACAAATGAGTAACTATGGAAATAAAGAGACGATTCAATAGTTAAAACAAGGTTACAGGTCTTGTTGGTTGTACTACGGACACATTGCAGTCGGTACCGTTTGATATCCAGCTCTCAGGAGCAGATCAAGAAGTCTAAGCTGAGATTTGACTGAGAGGACAGTGTTGGTGTTTGGTGGAGTCGTTTGTAAATAAGAGCAGGTAGTGTTGCGTCCCATCATCCATCAAAGTTCACTGTTTCCACGAAGACCTCTATCACTGCAGCAGGGACAACTCAACCAACATTATTCTAAACTGGTCCGATGCTTAACATAGAGAGGCGGTATCAGTGTTACAGCACCCGCATACCAGTCGTCCTCTAATGCACGGAAAAGCTGGTTAAGGAGAACCCCCCCCCCTCCTGTCCGTCAGCTGCTCGGCCCAGTTGTCCCGCCGCCAAACGGAAACTGACTGAAGAGGCGTAAATATGTGGAACACTTGTTGAGTCACCTCTGACCTCTCCTTGGCCTTCTCGCGTCTGAGAAAGCAGCAACTGTTGCCAACAGATCGCCTCCTGCAGCCGCAACAACGCAGACAGACAGGAGCACAGACCTGAACCAGGAGGCTCTATTATTAGTCAACGGTGTTTGAAACCTGCCCTGCAACAAGGAAGGCTGCTGTCTGGATCCACATCTCGAGACGCACTTACAACAAGTTCCATTCGATGTTGTTATTTAAATGTAAGGACAGAAATCTAAACAAATTTGATTTTAATTTGCTGAATTGAATACAAGATGTCTTCTCTGCTGAAATCTATCTCCTGACTGAGCACTTGAGCCAGAACACATGGTAGAAAGATTCTCAATACGCAGTAAACGGTTCTTTCACAAGTCGACATTCAGCCCGTTTTTATTGTTCTCTATCGAGTCGAGGTCATTAAAACAAAAATGAAATATAGAAAAAACATATAGAATTTAATAAAGAAAAAGAAAACTAGGTGACAAGTCCTCCCCTCTCCTGGTTGTTGAGTTCATCAGTTACCACAGCGGTGACTTCAGCATCACAGCGAGTGGCGCGTGTTTTGTTTTTTGCATAACTGAAGCGTGTGTGGGCGAGAGGAAAGATGGAGGCAGCGATGGATCGGTCGTAGAGTGGAGGCAGGCGGGCACGGAGCCAGCAGCCGGCTTATGTGTCCCTCAGTAGCAGGACGTGGGCTTTGTTTTGGGTTGTGCAGGCTGTCAGGTTGGTGTGCTGCATTATTAAGCAGGACATGAGTGGGCAGAAAGGGGGGGGGGGGGACAGGAGATCTGCTGAGCTGTTAGTAAAAACACAATTATAATTCAGCCACATTATTTTGTCCTCGAACACATAGCGAAGCCTTGTTCATGTTGTGCAGACAGAAGAGCACACTGGACTGTTGCAGTTCTCCTGCGCTGGTATTGCTGTTGCCATCGTTTCTGTTCGTCCCTGAACTCAACTGAACCTGAAACTTTACTCACAACAAACAACTGCTGAATCATCCTCCTCTGTCGACACTTTACTGTTTAATTAGATCACATGTTTGCTGGAATATAGCTGATTTACATAGATGGATGGATGGATAGATGGATGGATGGATGGATGCATTACTGTAATATCGTCTGGACTTACTGTGAGCACACTGCCCCCATGTGTGTACATGTGGAGACATAATGCAGGTTTTATTTTTCTAATCCTTCATCAGAATCATGTCTCAAAGGACTTTTTTTACGCATCAACAATTAATCACAAAAACACAAAAGAAAGAAAAAGAAGTTGATTATTTAATCATCTGTGGCTTCACTCTGCTGTGATCTGACATTAATTATCCTGATTCTGTTTCCTGGTTTTTTTTTCAGGTGTGTGGAGAGAAGAGTCGCTTCGAGAATCTCGTGGAGTATTTCAGCCATGAAGACAGCAACATCGACTTCATGGTAACGCTGAAGAGAAACTCTCTCTCGTGTGATTTCATGTAAAGATCTACAAAGAGCAGTTTAAAGCATTGACGATGGTCTGGGGACTAACCCTAACCTAACCCTAACCCTAACCTCCTAACCAACCCTAGCACAGGCTGACGTCAATAAATGTCTTTTTTTATTTCAACTGAAAGTCTAAAGACCAAATATATTCAGTTTACTGTCAAGAAAAAGGAAATGTAAATTCTAACATTTCTTTGGTATTTTTTGCTTAATAAATTACTGAAACTTGTTGTTGTAATACTCTTTACGGCCACAAGAGGCTGAAGTGCACTGTTACCTCATGTTCTAAATAGGAATAAAAGCATTCGTGTTTTCTTCCAGGTGAGCTTTAATTTCTCCGTGTTCGCTTCACAAAGTACAGATATTATTGTGTGTTTTTATAAATAAAATAACGACATATTTTTCACAGATGAAACTAAATATATATATTAGCAATTTAAAAACATTTTCCTGGTAAAACGTGAAGTCAAAAACACAGGAGAGAAGAAAACGGATCACAAGATGTAAAGATGAAGTATTTCCTCTGTCTGTCCACCAGGTGGCCTGTATGCAGTTCATCAACATTGTGGTCCACTCGGTGGAAAACATGAACTTCAGAGTCCACCTCCAGTACGAGTTCACTCAGCACGGGCTGGACGACTACCTCGAGGCAACTTTGACCTCCGACCCTTTCAGTCACTTCAAACAGAAACCTTAAAACGTGGACGTTGTGTATTTATCATGCAGGCAGGACTCTTTGTGTAACTTGTTCTTCTTCTTTGAATCCGCAGAGGTTGAAGTTCACGGAGAGCGACCGGCTGCTGGTGCAGATTCAGGCCTATCTGGACAACGTGTTTGATGTGGGAGCTCTGCTGGAGGATGCAGAGACCAAGAACGCTCTGCTGGAGCACATGGAGGAGCTGCAGGAGAACAACACACTGGTAGATATACTGCACACACACACACACACACACACACACACACAGAATGTATGGAGGAAATCTCAATGCATGAATTTTTATGTCGCAGCTGAGCTCCAGGCTTCAGGAGAGCGAGAGGGAGGCGATGGAGAACATGTCGGAGATGGAGAAGAAGCTCATTCAGACCACAAAAGAAGTGGAGCTCCTAAAGGTAGAATTCCTCTGAATATTTATTAAAGCAACAGTACAACTTGAGACCTGTCAATCACCGTGTAGCCCCGCCCTAAAGCATCCCCTG